TTGCTCGAAATTCAATACAACAATTTAAGTTTAACGAATAAAGGAACCAAGTTTATAACAAAATACCTTCAGTAAGTGAGATTTCGAGTTATTGAAGGTATTGAAGACAATTTTTTCACAAAAATTGTTTCTGTGCAGAAATACTTTGGATATGAAAAAATATATATAAACAATGACTATAAATGGGCAATATATACTAGAAATTGTCTATAAAAGTCTTACAATTACAAAAAATATACACTAAGCACCGATAGCTGCGTATCAAAATGCTTTGAGTTACAATAATAGCACATATACACCAGTAATGATAGTTTTTAAGAATAAAGGATGTACTGTTTTCAAATCCAGTGTTCCTAACACTATTGTCTTGAAAATATTATTAATTATAATCACGCTTCACATGCAAAACTAATTCACACAATAACTATTGTTATCATACATTAATTCATGTTGTGTGTATTTGTTTGTTTGTCTGCGAACTCATCTCAAAGAACTGGAGCTAATACGCGGACTCAAAGTGTTCCGGTGGATGTCTTTGTGTATACAGCGTAGCCCAACTATCAAAGGGGACTCAAACGCATCCGGAAAGTCATCCAGGAATGGGTGTTAAGAATTGCTGAAACCGAATATGGCATAGGACATTACGTTCCAGGCCCTCTTCGGGATCCCGGTAACGCCATTTTTGAAACTGTGTTCATAACCCCACTAACAATCTAACGGGATCAAACGTTACGCATGTGCTCTGGTGTTCTAACGGGTTTGTTTTCTGTTACGCCCCCCTCTCTTGGGGAAAATATAGAAGTGATTTTGAGATCATGAAGGGATTTGATGGGTATATTTGGACCTCTGTGAACCTTAATGGGGCGTTTGAACCTCGTAGCGGAGCGAGGGTATTTTATGCAAGTTCTATACTAACTTACGCTGTGTTTGTAACTTTGTCTGGATACTTTTCACACAGTTATGGAGCTAGCAGGACCAAACTTTCTTGTACGCCATAAAAAAATAAGATTGTTTAAAGCTTAAAATTCGCTGATGACGCACGTGTATTATAGTTCGGCGTAAACGCTGTAGGACGACTACTAATGATTCTGTGTTATTATCTATCTTTGCTAGAACAGAGTTAGGACTGACACGGGCCTTTCTGATGACTATAACTTGTTTATTTTCAACAAAAACGTTTTATTATTTTCACTCTGGGCATTACCTTCGGATGTAAGTAGAACTGTTTCAAGTATACAGTGTGTGTGTGTGATGAGTATCTAGCACACTATAACGGAAATTAGGTCTTGGATTTAAAATAGTAATTACAACTTCGAATAATGTAAGACGTTCCTTATCAATATACTAACAAAACAAAAAGAAATTGCCCATAATATTGCTGTGTAGTGGTGTTTTGAATTTGTTTCACCAAGAGTCTTTTGTTAAAACTAATCCCGCAAGAAATCACTAAGGGAACTAATCTTCTCTTACAGAACTGGGTTTTATTTTATCTGTAAGTTTTCTACCTTGACGAAATTAATTACTTTACCCTCAGGTTGTGTCGTAAATAATGTAATGCATATAGCTTGTCTAAGATTGTTAAGCACGACTTCATAACGCTGAAACAGTTATTAAAGTACCGAAATAGATTAAAACAAAAACAGAGTTAAGATCATATTCAAAAGCGTTGTTGGTTACAAGCATCTTGTACATTTGAAAGTAACTCAAATATATTCCTTTCCTCAAATGTCGAATCTAATTGCGCAAAAGTTTCATAAAACATTTTGAACATTAATTTGTTGGGAGAGCAACATGTCGTGAGATACGAATGTAATGAAACATACTTTTCGCGAACCTCATGTAAACAAATATTCAGTTCACTGAAGTTTTATTTAAGATAAAAATGCCTTATTAAATATTAACGAAATACATAATTTTGTCTTATATACAATATCTTTAGTTAGAGGTTTAATTAGAATTTTAACGTGAAATTACTGTTGCATTTTCCCCAACAAAAGAAGACAGTATGATGTAACGAAAATACCACGGTCGCAAATCTTACGAGGCTTAAAATATGATCCACGATTGTATTGTTATCTATTTATTCAGCTTAGATATGCTTGAATTTTTCGTAAGAGTTACGTACACTCACCACAACAATTCAACTTACATATGTTTGAATTGTTCGTAAGAGCTGTGTACACTCACTACAACAATTACAACAATTCAGCTTACATATGTTTGAATTGTTCGTAAGAGCTGTGTAGACTTACTACAACAATTACAACAATTCAGCTTACATATGTTTGAATTGTTCGTAAGAGCTGTATAGACTTACTACAACAATTACAACAATTCAACTTACATATGTTTGAATTGTTCGTAAGAGCTGTATAGACTTACTACAACAATTACAACAATTCAACTTACATATGTTTGTAATTGTTCGTAAGAGCTGTGTAGACTTACTACAACGAATT